AAAAAATCCAGACTGTGATGAGCATTTGCAGATACGGATTTGAAAGACTATATTGATTTTCAACACGTATGTCAAAATTGTCGATACATTTAGAGAGCAGTACGAACATAGTACAATGATTTAAATTAAACAGTGTGTATGTCATAACGTGAAAAAAGCAAAGAAACAAAAAGGCGCTGAAGTGGAGGGAAAAGAAACTATGAATAAGAATAATATACAACAAGCGAAAACGACTAGAGAAGGGGGAAAAAGTCAAAGATTGAACATTTCTTAATTCCTGAAATTCACAACACAAGATATCACAAAAAATCCGAATCATGTTCGCATTGACACTCGATGTTATCATGTAGTAATGTGTATAAAAATACGATCGACGCGACGCCCGCTTCCTGCGCTTCTAACGGGTGATTTTTTAAGGTATAGGATTTGATTTAAAAAAAAAACACAAAAAATTTGAAAAAACGATTAAATCTTTATTTGAGTCGATAGAACGTTCGATATAATTTAATGTTTAAAGATTATTTCATGTAAATGTTGGCCGCGGCTCCGCTTTAGATGGCCAATGCGCAAGGTCATATTTTGGCACACTCTCTCCAACATATCGGCCGGTATCTCACGAATAAATGCTTCAATATTGGCTTCCAGTGCGTCAATCGTTGCTGGTTTATCCCTGTAGACATTAGCCTTAATATGGCCCCTCAAGAAATAGTCCAACGGCGTTAAATCACACGATCTAGGCGGCCAATTGACGGGCCCCAAACGTGAGATAAACTGTTCACCGAACTCGCCTCTCAATAGGGCCATTGTTTCGTGTGCGGTGCGGCATGTGGCACCGTCTTGTTGAAATCACATGTCAGCCAAGTCCAGCTCTTCCATTTTGGGCAAAAAAAAGTTTGTTATCATCGCACGGTAGCGCTCGCCATTCACAGTTACGTTCCGGCCATTGTCGTCTTCGAAGACGTACGGCCCGATGATGCCACCGGCCCATAATCCACACCAAACAATGATTTTTTCGGGATGCATTGGTAGCTCTTGCAATGCTTCTGGCTGGTCTTTACTCCAGATGTGGCAATTTTGTTTGTTAACGTACCCATTCAACCAGAAATGAGCTTCGTCGCTGAACACAATTTTTCGATAAAATGTGGATCTTCCTCCAACTTTGCCAGCGCCCATTCACCAAATTGGAAACGTTGTGAGAGGTTGTGTGGCTTCAATTCTTGCACCAGCTATATCTTATAAGGATTTACACCCAAATCCTGTCGCAAAATTTTCCACGTAGTGGAGTAACAGAGGCCCAATTGTTGCGAACGGCGGCGAATTGACATTTCACGGTCATCACTAACACTGGCGGATACAGTCGCAATATTTTCTTCAGTCCTCACTCTACGTCTGCGTGTTTGTGGTTTAATGTCCAATAATGTAAACTGGGTTCGAAATTTAGTCACAAGCTCCCGAATAGCTCCCTCAGTAGGCCGACCAAATTTCCCATAAATTGGAAGCAGTGCTCGATGCACTCTCTTAACCGAGCATGAATTTTGATAGTAAAATTCAATAATTTACAAGCGTTGTTCGTTCGTAAATCGATTCATGGTTAAATTATAGACCAAACTGAACAAGTTTGACAATGACACAAGACACGATTCACGCGTCATCTGTCAAAAACAGTGTTGCCAAAAAGATACTAGCAGAAAAATCACCCATTACAAAGAAGGGACACCAAATCTAGTCAGTAATAATGAGTAGCCATATCCTCTTGGAGAATAGACACCAACATTCCTATAACATAGATATTCCAGAAATTTATTTTGTACTTTTTCAATATTGTTTTTGCAGAATTCATCGATAAGACTCTTAATAATTGGACTGTCTCCTAACATACTTATAACAAGCATGAAAATAAATTAGCGTCGTGATACTGACATTTCCACAGTTTCTGATAATAAAGCGATATGTGCGATACGTATTGGCAACAGGCAGCTTATTTATGAACTATTCCCAATAACTATCAAGTTAATACGATAATGTCAAAAATATCCATAATAGGCATTATAGTACATATCTAATAAAGCCCAGACGTTAACAGTCCTCACGGGTACTAGATCTATTTTTGTATTGTATTATTGGACACACGTTGATATCACCAAATTATCCAATTTGCCGGTCACACTTATAAGTAAAATGAGGCGCGACCGAAAACTGCTATTTTGTTCTTGTCTTGTGGTGTGTGGGTGTATTTGTCGTTGTGATCACAGAGCAACAAGGAAATGTCCAAGGAACTGCCGAGCAAGTTTCATGGACTCAGGTGGCAGCGGCATTCCAAGGATCTATCAAGTAAATTTTGAGAAAATTCCGACTTGTTATATTAATTTCAACAACTATTTACCAGAAAACTGGCAGTTCGTTCCTCATGTTTAATCAATACAAGAAGGGATGAGAGGCAAGGTCAAGCCATACAGCCTTGTACATCTTGTTGTTTCTGGCCAAAAAAGTCATTCAATATGGCGGTTCTCAAATGTACCAAACATTATTATATTTAGCACTCATTTTAATCCAGGAAGTAGCTTCGCGTCCGCTCAGATATTCTGAATCGTTTTTTTTATTAAGAAACTCATTCAAAATGGATCTATTGCCAGGCTCAATATTCTTTTTTTTGCTAAGCGTTTTAATATTTGAAAAACTGGAGAAAATGCTAATGTCGACACCGAAAACTAAAAATGTCATTGTTTCGAATGTTTCCAAATATTGTTCAAACATCATTTAACAGGATCCCAAAGCGTTCCAAGGAATTGTTATTGTTCTCTCTTTAGAGATTAGTTAATCCTGTTTGAATAAGATTATGCAAAAACCCGGATCAAAATATTTATCGAAGCAGACCCGAATATACGTGTACTTCCTGGAAGATTTCTGCATGTGGATTTATCATTACTATTACTATCATTATACATACTAGAGGAGTTGAGCAAAAGCTATAAACAACCAACAGTGAGAAGAAGCTAAACTGAAAACAATGAGTCATGTCATAAGCAAACTAAAGTTTATCGTGCACCCAAGATTTTTGACCCTTTTAGCTGTGAACGCATTAACAACGTCGTAGTTGTGGCCTCGCAGGTGGTTGGCGTCGTGTCGAAAAAATGCCGAAAAAACCATGCAAAGCTATAACATATAACGGGTAATTTTTTAAGAGGTATAGGATTTGATTTTCAAAAAAAACACAAAAAATTTGAAAAAACGTTTAAATCTTTATTTGAGTCGATAGAACGGTCGATATAATTTAATGTTTAAAGATTATTTCATGTAAATGTTGGCCGCGGCTCCGTTTTAGATGGCACTCTCTCGAACATATCGGCTGGTATCTCACGAATAAATGCTTCAATATTGGCTTCCTGTGCGTCAATCGTTGCTGGTTTATCCCTGTAGACATTAGTCTTAACATGGCCCCACAAGAAATAGTCCAACGGCGTTAAATCATACGATCTAGGCGGCCAATTGACGGGCCCCAAACGTGAGATAAGCTATTCACCGAACTCGCCTCTCAATAGGGCCATTGTTTGGTATGCGGTGTGGCATGTGGCACCGTCTTATTGAAACCACATGTCAGCCAAGTCCAGCTCTTCCATTTTGGGCAAAAAAAAGTTTGTTATCATCCCACGGAAGCGCTCGCCATTCACAGTTACGTTCCGATCATTGTCGTCTTTGAAGAAGTACGGCCCGATGATGCCACCGGCCCATAATGCACACCAAACAGTGATTTTTTCGGGATGCATTGGTAGCTCTTGCAATACTTCTGGCTGGTCTTCACTCCAGATGCGGAAATTTTACTTGTTAACGTACCCATTCAACCAGAAATGAGCTTCGTCGCTGAACACAATTTTTCGATAAAAATGTGGATCTTCCTCCAACTTTGCCAGAGCCCATTCACCAAATTGGAAACGTTGTGGTAGGTCATGTGGCTTCAATTCTTGCACCAGCTGTATCTTATAAGGTTTTACACCCAAATCCTGTCGCAAAATTTTCCACGTAGTGGAGTAACATAGGCCCAATTGCTGCGAACGGCGGCGAATCGACATTTCACGGTCATCACTAACACTGGCGGATACAGCCGCAATATTTTCTTCAGTCCTCACTCTACGTCTACGTGTTGGTGGTTTAATGTCCAATAATGTAAACTGGGTTCGTAATTTAGTTACAAGCTTCCGAATAGCTCCCTCAGTAGGCCGACCAAATTACCCATAAATTCGAAGCAGTGCTCGATGCACTCTCTTAACCAAGCATGAATTTTGATAGTGAAATTCAATAATTTGCAAGCGTTGTTCGTTCGTAAGTCGATTCATGGTTAAATTATAGACCAAACTGAACAAGTTTGACAATGACACAAGACACGATTCACGCGTCATCTGTCAAAAACAGTGTTGCCAAAAAGATACTAGCAAAAAAATCACCCATTATCTGATTATCAAGCCCCCTCGTAAGCATCTATCGGAGAAGTGAGATTTCAGCCTCTTCTCATATCAAGGTCGTTGGATACGGTACGGGATGCATGTAGTTTTGCTCTGAATATCTTCCAACAGGTTTCGGTCACGTTGTAGCATTACATAGCAAACAACACCAGTGAATTCCATATATCGATCTAACATATGATGTGTACAGGAGAGATCAGCAATAGAACTGACACATCCCTTAAAAGATCTTTCAATAAGGTACAGATTCCTTTCGGCCTTAGTCGTTGAGTGTTGGATATGCTCGGACCATAATAGACTAGCCGATACAACATTTAAATCTATGTGACTGGAGACAGAGGAGATTTTCTTGTTTCTGATGATGTAGCTGATCTTTGGATTGTTCTTTCCAACGTGTAGAACATATCGCTTTTCCAACTTGAGGGGCAGCAGACATATTCTGAACGTTGTCGACGTCGCGTTGAAGGACGTTAACCTTGGAAAGGGGGGGTATTGTATAGGAGAAGCAGCAAAGGTCGCTGTTGCCAGTTACACTCAGTTACTTCTAGGTGTTCCAGCTTGCAGAGAAGGTGTGCGAATGGTATTCGACCGAACGCTCTCGAAAAATTTGTGAGTCAATACTCAAGTTTTGCATGGTGAATATTCTTTACGATAATCCTTTACTTTTGCAGATAATGTGAAAAGCAATAATTCTTTGATAAGTAATTTTTGCGTATACAATTGTTTTCTACCATAATACCTAAGTCCGGCTCTGTTACTTGACGGTACCGCTGCTCTTCAGAACTTCAGATAACATGCCAAAAGCTTTGGACGGTCAGCCATTCGCCTAAATCGGTGGCATCAAATGATGAATTTGAGTTCACTGACCGCAGCTCTCTGCAGAAATTCAACTAATATCATGCTCTTCTGTGAATTGTGTTTAGCTTTAGATAGTTAATCATTGGAGTGAAGGTATGTCATCAACTGAAACAACTGCCCTCTTACAGACTGACCGCAATTCTGCAGGTATTGGTGATTTTCTTCTGTTTTTAACCATTTTGCTGTTTAAATGTGATCAGTCATAATTCCTTCTTTTTATTTTCAGCATCTTATACATCCTTGAACCAACAAGATCCCACACAAAACAAGAAATATGTTGTCGAGGAACCACGGGATAGATTTTTTCTTGTACATTTTTTGTTCCTGCTCTTCGGACTTCTTCACCTGATGCCACTTACCTTCCTAATCACTGCCAATAATGTAAGTACTAAAAAACATGTCAACTCAGATATGCCATTCTACGATTAAGCTGGTCATGAGAAACGTATTGATAGTGACCATATTATTGACCGACGTTGTTTTATGCTTGTTGTCCGATATAGGTGTTGTCTCGAAGACGGTTTCAGGCCATATCGTCAATAATTGCCTTGATTTTCATATAATTTTCTCTCCTTCAGAAAGGCTGAGTATTTCTAGATTTATACTGCTCCGTGTCAGCGTCAGCGCTCTCCTATTGCGAAGTTATGTTTTCTTTTTGAGGTGTAGGAAATTTCAGGCTGATAAAACAGATGATATAAATCAGAAGCATGATCAATTTGATGCAAATAGATATTTGTGACATAACCTCAAAGTAAAGTGCTGACACGAAACAGTAGAAAACTATGAAACTCAATTAGACCATAAAGGCGTCCTACAATTATAGGAACGACTTATGATACGGCGCTTATGTACGCTGAGGTCTTGCGCATTTTTTAATGGACAAAATTGATAAAGGTTCATAATATGTTTTAATGTAACACCTGAAACATATCCAGTAGTTTTCATGTTCGGAGGACTCCATTGTCTGACCTAATCATAACCTAATATAGTGGTGGTCGAAATATTGCACAATACGCAGTAATATAAAGTGATATACAGGGTGGCACGTAGAACTTTAACGATGGACTACTCGAAAAGTTGACTTCAAATAATTATGAAAACTCGAAATTATGCTACAAGTGATGTAAGGAACTCGGTAAATTTATTTGCAAAATGGTGGCATGCCCGCATGTATCGGAAGTATATACCAACTTGCTTATTTTAAATGGAACATCTTGTATATTTTGAAACTTATTAAATCTACGCAAGGCTTTATTTCATGTTTAACGTCCTATGCCCAACTCTTAACTGTTTTTCAGAAACATAAAATCTTGTATAAGAAATAAAAACTGCAGGTCCATAAAAGCCTATACGTTTTTCGTATATTTTTGTTTTTGTTGAACGATTTGTAATTGCCACCTTATAGAAGGGGATCTACTTTAACGGGCAAAAAAAATCGGATAACAATTAAATTTCAAGAAATGCCTAAAGTCAATGTTTTCAAATGGAATCCTCCAGTTTTTATAATCTTATCTTAAGTAACAAAAATGGTTATTCGCAAGTTACCTTACGAAATATTTGCAAATACCCGGTTTGTATCCCTCCATGCGCCTTTTTTATGGTCGGTTCAACATGGTTGGCTATGGCGCAGTGAATTATTAAAAATCAGTCAATATATAATTTTTTCATATGTGGTGCATGTATTGTTCATAAAAACAGGAAGAAGAGGAAAATATTCACTGCCAGAGCGTCTCTCTCTCCGCTAGGTTATCTCAGGTGTAATTCCAAGCAGTGTATACACCATATGTGATAAAAATGCGTATGGATTGATAGAAAACGAATATTTCGAAGTAGATAATCCCATAGAAAGCTCTCCTTGTTTTAATTGCTGAATATGATGAGATTATAAAAATAGGGGGATTCCATTTGACAAACATGACTTTTTGATTGTCCTTCGGATGTTTTATTACTATTAATTACCAAAAGATTGAATCTATGAGGGAGTAGTTACAAATCGTTAAAGACAGACAAAAATATTCCAAAAATTCATACACTTTTATCTACGATCGATGCATTTGCGATATTTTACACAAAATTTGATATTTCTCAAAAGCAGGTATATGAAATATATTTAGAATGTTGCATAGATTCGAAAAATGAATTATACGTAGGGTGTTTCTTTTAAAAAGAGCAAGTTAACTTCTGCTTCCGGTACAACCGAAAATGCCACCATTTTGAAAATATCGTAGCCGACTTCCTCATATCAGTTGTACCATAACCTCAAGTTTTCCTAATTGTGTAACGTCAACCTTTTAAGTAATCGCTCGTTGTTTTTCTTCGTGGATCGCCCTGCATACGTATATACGTAAATCCCTATGTCAGGATGATAGATATAATATAATAATATATAATATTTATTCACTCAATGTACAAAGATAACAAACAATATGAGTAAATAAATATAAAAACAGGCCCAATAGAAGGCATCGCCTGTACATGGACCAATAAATTTAAGTTGAAACTGTAGCATGCAAATGACAAAAAAAGACAAAAATTAGCTACAGTAGATTATGTATTTAGTTGATGTTCGTATTTATGAGTTTATGAATTTCAGTCCTAGATATAGAATGTAGACACTTTTTTAAATTCTTTTGAAACAATTTCCGAAACGTAAATCTTTTAAGTATAATTTCATAAAATTTAGGCGCTAAATAGAGATATGATCGCTGCATTATAGATTTATGCGGTTGAGGAACTACTGTGCCACGAATTTTGTACCTGGTATAATGATTATGTTTAATTTTTTGGTCGGTGTTTACAAATTTATGGTAGTGAGTGATACTGTGTAAGAAATAAAGCTGTCTTATATCATACATTCGAACATCTCCGTATAATTTTTCAGTGGGATAAAGTTTCGGTTTTTTAAATATCATTTTTAGAATACTTTTTTGAAAAACATCTAAATTATAGATATGTGAGGAACATGCAGCTCCCCATGCTAATATACCATATGTGAGATGAGGCTCAATCAGTGCATGGTATAATGTTCGAAGATATTTTTCTGTCAATATATTCCCAAGGTATTTAATTTTGTAGGATACAAATCTAACTTTCTTTAAAATATAATTGACATGGATGTCCCATCGTAAGTGAGGATCCAAGACCACTCCAAGGTATTTTATGTTGGACACTCTATTAATTTGCATTTTTTGATCATTAACATTGAAGGAGAAATTTCTGTAATTTGGCAGATGTCTAGCATAAGATCCAAATGGTAAAAAATGTGTTTTAGAGTAGTTAATGCTTAATTTTCTACTGTTAAACCACCGAATAATTTTGATAAAATCATTTTCAATTACATTTTTCAGATCAGACCAGTCAGTGCCTTCATATAATATTGCAGTATCATCTGCAAAACTAGTTATTCTGCCAACACAATTAATTTGGAAAATATCATTTAAATATATATTGAATAACAGCGGACCTAAGACAGTTCCTTGTGGGACACCACACTTAATATACATTTCTTTACTAAATGATCCTGATATCTGCACAGATTGTGGGCGATTTGACAAATAACTTTCGATCAGTGAGTACGCGTTTCCTCTGAAACCAATTCTCTCCAATGCTTCTAATAATAATTTGTGGTTAACTGTATCGAAAGCTTTCTTTAAATCAACAAAAATGCAGATTGAAGGGATTCTGTTATCAATATTTTGATGTATTTGATTTACAATTTTAGTTATTGCGTCCGATGTAGCCTTCCCTTCTGTAAATCCATATTGATTTTCACTTAAAATTTTGAATTTTGTGAGGTATCGAATCATTCTAGTAGATAAAACTTTTTCAAAAACCTTTGCTACACTGGATATTATTGATATTGGTCTATAGTTGTTAACATCTGTTTTTGTTCCTGATTTATGTATCGGTATTATATTACCTTTTTTAAAATTGAGGGATATATGCCAGATTCAAAGCATTTGTTGATTAGGTAAGTGAGTGGTTCTGTTATGTCCTCGGCTGTAATTTTCAAATGCTCGCTTTTAATACCATCGAACCCAGGACTTTTCCGATTTTTTAAGGACATAACAGTGGTGTATACTTCACATTGCTCGACTTTATCCAAAATAAATGAGTTCAAAGTTCTTTTTGGAGGCTGAGTATTTTGTACATTTGCTTGTATATTACTTGCTAAATTTTTGCCTATGTCAGTAAAGAATTGTACAAATTCATCGCATATCTGTTGAGTATTTTTTAATACTGTTCCCTATGTTGTATTTAACTCAGTGACACACTCTTTAACTTTTGTTTTCCCAGTAATCTCATCAATAGTTGTCCAAAGCCGCTTAGGATCATTCATTCATATCATCATATTATTCAATTTATTTAGGTAATGTTTTCGTTTGGTTTGCCTTACAAGCTCTATAAATTTATTTTTATATTGGTTGTAGCAGTCGGTATTCTCTGTAGTTGGCGTTAGTTTCATTACATTATATAGTCTTTCTTTCTCTATTGCCGATGTTATTAATCCTTTGGTAATCCAGGCATTTCTGCTTTTCTCTTTGTGACTAATTATTACTTTATTGGTACTAATATCTATTAGTTTTTTTATTTTCTCTATGAACAGTCCCGTTGCTTTGTCTATATTATTTATAGAGTATAATTGTTCCCAGGATTCTTGTTTGACATTTGATATTAGTTTTGAATTGTCGACAAAAAAATTGTAATTTTCCTGGTTGTTACTAACGGTAGGGATGTTAGAATGTTTTTCATTTGAAGATATCAGTAAAATAGTGGAGAAGTGGTCAGTAATATCGCTTTCTAGGATTATTGGTATACAAGTAATTTTGTTGGATAGGTCTTTCACAAAGCAGTGATCTATACATGTGCCACTGATGGACCTTGTAGGTAGGTTTATATAGGACAGAAATCCGTTACTTGATAGGATATTCAAGTATTCATTTGTGATGGGATCATCGTCCAAAATATTTATATTGACATCTCCCAAGAAAATATGTTGCTTTAAATGAACTTTATTTTGATTTTGAAAAAAAAATCGATATTCTTTAAAAACTCGTGGGGTTCTGAACATGGCGGACGATAAATTGCAGATACCTCAATTTTGTTATGGTTAATTTGGATCATTATGTTTAAAATTTTGATTCCATCGGTGAAAGTGAATGTATCATGATTATACTGCAGTTCATTTCTTACAAAAACTATCACCCCATCGTTTTGGTTATAAGTGCCAACGTTATACAGCGTGTCATATCCCTGCTGATTGAAGCAAGAAATATCAGCCACTTGCCACATTTCAGTTAAAACTATTAGATCAAAGTTGTACCATATTTGGTCGAGTAGTATTTTTAAGTAATCAATGTTGTGTTTTATACTCCTTATGTTTATATTAAAAATTCGAAATTATGCATCAGAATTTTGTGTACATAAATTAAGTTCATCGACGTTTTGTGCTATATTTGTTGCAATACTTGGAATTTGGAAATCATTAATGTATTTATTTACTGACATTTTTAGGTCCTCTTTAGAGATAGGAGTAGTAAAAGATGAACTTGAATTTTAAAAAAGTATCCTTAGTTTTGTTGTTCCTGATAATATTTGTACGATATATATATATATATATATATATATATATATATAATCGAAAATTAGAATGCCAGGAACAAAGTTTGTTCTATGTTCATGCCGTCAAGCTTTCGAACAACTTTGTTGTCTTCTTCTTCTTGTAGGAAATACAGATTTTCGAAAGCCTGACGATATGAACACAGAGCAAACTTTCTTTCCGGCATTCTAATATTCCGATTACGTTACGGCAGCAACATCAAGATTTCTATATGGTGTTGATTCGGACAGATGATGGAGTCCTATAATATGGTTTGTTCTAGTACTGGATGCACAAGTTCCGTAACGTTAGCATGGAACACCAAGATGTGGAATACAGATCGCCCTTGCAGAGGTACTTCACAGCAGGAACTGCCGTGGCTGAGGCAGTACCTACCATTGTTTGCACGCTCCTCGCCACTGCGTATGGCCACAAGTTCCTGGTGCGATCTCGGATTTTCGTCACCCTATCCGTCATAGCCGCCTGTTACGTACTTTGTACCATCTTTGTCAAGATCAATGTCAACTCATGTAAGAGCTTACAATATATTTCATACCCAATTTTAGAAATAAGCTGTAACGCTGTGCATAAAAAAACATTTCAAAACTCAGTGCAAACATGTAATCGTTTCTTCTTTATAAATGAAAAAGATTTACACTCAAAGTACTGGCATACCTAAGAAAAGTCAAGATGTCCCAAGAACTGTCAAAGTTTGTTCATACTCAGCTCTGTATACTGCTTACTTCAAGCCCTTTCACAAAGTTGAATCCACCCATAAAACATGAGAACCACCCCTTTAAGAAGAATTTCCTATAACTAGAAGGTTTATGTGCGGTTCTGGAAATGTAAAAAGCGGGAAACTTTAAGATAAAGTACATACAAGAATATTTGAGGGGGTCCGGAAAGTAGGGAAAGGACAAGATATCTTGAAAAATAAGTTTCACAAAGAAAAATGTTGTGTAGCAAAGTTGTAATGCTTGAAAAGATTCGTCAACGTGACCTTGACCAAACACACTGTATATATATACAATGTGTTTGGTCACGACATAACGATATTTGGGCGGATATTTTTCAGCTATTTTTATCGACAAATCCACCCCCTACAATGTCATACCTCACATATGGTCTGCCGCTCAACACGACCCTGTTTTAAGAACAACAATGTGCATAACCAATAAAGGAGGATATTTTGAACATCTTCTGTAACATTAAACATGTCCAAACTCTTATAAGAAACATTAATTGGTAATTTTTATGTATAAAAATTTTGAAAACAGTTTACATTTTATTACACCCATTTTGACCCATGTTAGATAGCATTTATTGCTTAACGTAGAATACTTAGGATAACAAAAATCTGTAGAATTAGCACAAAAAAAGTACAACTTCACAGTCTAGTTTTTGAATGGTGTGCGGAAATGCACAAAATAATCAATGTTCTTCCGTATTTTTTTCTGCTTTTGTCTGTTTTTAAGTATGTTTGCCGGTTGGTATCAAAACAGGTTTTTCAATAATCGCTAGGACAACATGTCATCGTTCAAATGTCACAAAATTTATCATTCGGTGACAATTACGTACTCAGTTATTACAATTTTCATACATGCACTACCGAAATCGTAACGTAAACATAAAAATGGCTGCCATTTCAAGGGGGATGAGGTAGGACATTGTAGGGGGGTGGATTTGTCGATAAAAATAGCTGAAAAATACCCCTCTTGAATATCGGTATGTCGTGACCAAACACATTGTATATATATAAAGTTGCAAGATAAAAAATTTGGATATTTATTTGATAAATCGTGATGTTGCAGGGCAGACTGGCTTCTACGCTTTAACGATGGCTACGCTTGCTACAATTCAAAGTACGTATCTATCGTAATATACCAAGCTTAGAAAACATATATATCTTGATCGTTTTACAGCAATGTTAGCAGTATATCAAGTTACTTCGTTAGTGCTTCTTGCAAAATTCCCTGGCAACTACATGAAGTTTTTTCTGTTTGGGGAAGGAGTTGCTGGTATATTCACATCTTCTCTGCAGGTAATATTTACTTATGTAGTATAAGCTTGTCCCTAATGTGTATTGCTTGAATTTGAGGCCATGCGATGCTCACCGATTTGATATTATATAATTTCTTACTTTGCCGTGCTCTTAAGCATGTGCTTTGAAGGAAGAGGAAAAATCAGCCTGTTCGCTGTTAAAAACATCCAGTTCTTTCAACAGCCTTGAGGCAAACCTAATCTTATAAAAAAGTCTTGAATAACTATACGGTATCTATGGTGTGTGAACTATGCCAGTTCCAAAACCTTCTGAAGATAAATCACATGTTAGACCAATCAAAATTATAGAAAATAGGCTATTTATTGGTTCGTTTTTTCCAGGTTGTGTGTTTGGCAATAGGCGGTGAACCAGAAACATCTGCATTGATATATTTTTGCACTGGCACGTTTCTACTCATTTTGACACTGGTTATTTTCAAGGTGGTTAAATATCTGGACATATACGATTATTATGTAACCTTGAACAAAGAAGATACGAAGAGAAAGACTCATTCTTTCACTGAAGCAATGAAGGTAAGTTGTCCTGAGATATATTTTTTCTGGAAAAGCGACACCTATCACCAGAATCGACCACTGCGGAGAGCACATAGCAATTGGAACTGTAAAGATATCAGTTCGCGGAAATAGTCCAGTCACCACGTCATCGCTAGATGGGTGACGATTCTGACTGCATAGTAGATGTGGTCTAGTTGCCATTGAATTAACTAAACATAATACTTTCGCTCGACCAAAAGACATCCAATCATGGGCAGATGTTTCGTGCTTTCCGGCTACTCATCAGCATGGTCTAGGATTGGTGTCACGCCTCTGGGACAACGAACGAAATTATGGCAGCTATCTTCTATCCCAGAAGAACGGTTTATCGATTCTGATGAGAGATCTGTATAGACCGTAACCTTACGTCCGAGATATAGCATTGCAATGCTCCTCTGATACTCTTTTTTACTAAGGTTTTAGTTTCGTGATATCTCAAAGTATTTAAAAAGACTGTTGAACCCAGGATACCTCGAAGCCCACCCATCTACGATACTTGGTTATAGAACTCAGTTTGTTGCAAATGTTTCCTAATATAAGCCCTTGTATTTGAGTTCATTGCTCTCAGCTTATCATTATAATTATTATAAATCGTTCACACAGGTTGCTCGAGAGATCTGGCCTTGTCTGGTTATCTTCATGACGTATGTGGCCACGTTAGCCGCTACTCATCCCTCTGTCACCTCATTGGTCATCTCCGAAAATGCGGGAAAAGGATACACATGGAATGGTAAATCCGATAAGAACTTTACCGTCATTTTTTATTTAAAATGAAGCTGTGATTTGCCAAATCTGTTTCATTATCACATAAAAGCTTCAACGATGAAATAATTACTATTTATGTGAGTCATCAAAAACATTATTTATCAATCACGTTTGTTTCAGATAAGTATTTCGTACCAGTGATTACGTTTCTATTTAGTGACGTATGTTCCCTGTGTGGCAGACTTTGCGCGACTGGTTTTTTGACGGTAAGATATAAAACACTCGAAACAGTATTTGGTAATCTAAATATTTATACCGGATTCTCAAAGGGAAAGTTCGCTTTCCAACAAGTATGATAGAAGTTTTGCTTCATAAATCCTTTCTAACTAAAATTAATTTCACATTGTAACTCTTTAGTAGAGTTGTTGTTTTCGAATATTCGTCACTTGATCGTTACTCTACTAATAAGTTATAATTTATTATATTTGCTGCATTGATCACTATGATCACAATGAACAACTCGATTAGATGTAACCTGCGGGGTTACTGAATCTTTAGATTCTATGCAAAATGAGATGTGTTCTCCAGATTCATTTGTGCCTAAAACCGACAAAAAATATATTTACAAGGTATGCCTCCAAAACATACGTTGCATTGTTTATAATATGGGCTTGAGAATACTTCAATCGCCGAAGTAATATTTCGGTTAAGTACGAATTGTACGAGTTGCTTGCAGCCTATTTCATGAGTATCCATTACGCTTCGACGTCAGCTGATCAGCAAGTAACATATTTGTATAAGTCTGAAACGTTGGCAATAATGAATAGGGTGTAAATCTGATAAAACTCAAGACCGTATTCAGAGCAGTTGTTCACATACTTGGATACTTTTAGCGACTGGGAATTTTGACAATATCATATACAAAGTACACATGGAAAAATGTTTATCAGAAAATGATTATAGTACATCTGGGATTTATTGACTAGGAGACTGCGTTGTCCTTTCCAGTAGCCATATTTTTCCCTGCAAGAATAATATGGACACGTGTTTCTGATTAATTGTCGTCATCAGTGTAAACATTCAAATACTGGGTAATTGTGCGTAGAGCCTCTTATTAAAGTTAATAATGTATAGTTTGTTTAAAACACCACTGATGTAAAAAAATGATTTTGCACGTTACATCAACCTGCAAAGTTAATAGTTACACATACGTGTCCTTCCATAGTCTTCCCGAAGTAGTTGTGAAATATGTACGCACATTTCATACATACACATGGTGTTTCAAGTTCTAAAAAGTATAGATGATTAAAATAGACAAAAACTTCGTCTCTTTTTCTTATTTTATTCCTACCTGACTTGACATGTAGTCATGATCACTAGCTGCCATTTAGCTTGTAGCGTTTGGTATGCGAAGGAACTTTTTCAAATAAAAGAGTTGGTAGCAAGTATAAAATGAATTCATAGCATACACAAAACAATGTACGGCTCCGTCTACCTGGCATTAACGGATCAGAATTGTGTGTAACTTGTCGATAAGGGGAATTTTGAAATATGACTGGATAATTAGCTGTTATTCTACCGTAATGGATACTCGTGAAAAAAGTATACTCTACTTGGCGGTGGTGCTAGTGTTAGCAGCAGCCAGCGCTACCGTCCATCGTACGGAACACGGGGTAATCAAAGTAATAATTTGGTACCAGGATTGTTAATCGCTATGAATTCTCGAGTACCTGGTAGTTACTTTCTCAATACCCCTACCATCTAGTGATGAAAATTGGATGTCACGTTAAATAAATTTTCATTAAGCTGTAAGTTTTACGCTACTAATCGTGGTATTATATACTTTCAGAAGAGGAACGGCCCCTTTTTTGTGACTCTCTCCTTCATAAGGTCGGCTGTCCTAATACCTCTGGTGGCATTGTGTCATGCTACCCCAAGAAGTCACCTTCCAGTGATATTCAACCACGACTGGCAGTATATCATCATCCTCGCCTGCCTTGTATTCACCAATGGTTTCATTCAGAATGTCTCCTTTCTCAGCATAGGGAAGTAAGTGTATGATATACCCTATACAGGGCATTCCAGAAAATCGTGGCACTATCCCATATCCAAAGATAACACAAACAGTTTTTTATAAGCACAGGTCTCAAATGTCCCATTAGTAAGATGCAGGGTATTGTATATTTCTACGCCACTGATGAGACAAAACACGATCATTCTTCAAATATCACTATGGAAAGTAAGGACTAGTCTCCTAATACATAACATACACCTTAGGAAAAACCATTGTTATACATGGGAAATCATTTCTTGGCAACAGCGCATCGGCTCGTCTACTTTCATCGCTATTCGTACATATTTCCTACCGTTAACCGCAGACCTGTATTACGAATGAGAATAATAGGCAGATACGCTGTGTTGCCAATTTGAGTAGAGCTTCCCGAATTGTGGGGAATTTAGAGTTAAGTGTTGATTCATTCAAGCTTTTAATCAGCATGGCCTAGACGTTGGAACTTCATAAAGATAACATTGAAGCTGAATGCTGCTGGAGTATAGTGTTTCGAATATTCAAAACGGAGCGGGACACTATACTCGTTCAATGGGTTATCAAGCCACAGTCTTTTCAACAAAGAAATTATTTTACGAAAATGCGTTATATTTTTACGATTTTGTCGTCACCAAATCTCTGTTTCTCAAAATGTACGTCTATTGTAGAATTTTCAGCAAACTAAGCAAGAAACGTGATCTAGTATTTACTCAACATTACGGATGTCTCGAAATACATTAAAAAATGTGACCTAGATACCTAACTGCCCCAAGCTCTTTAAATATAACACCTTAAACCAGGGTTACCAGGTGCTCAGTCACGTTGATTGTCATGTTGTACTGCGCAAGTCAGCAAACAATCTGGCGTAATAAACGTTAGGAATCATCAGGTATTGCCAGATTCCCGAATACCGGGCACCATAGTAACCGTTATAGTTGTCCTTCAAAGTTGTCAAATCGCCCCTATGGCGCAAATTCGCCACACCAGGCAACTGTGCTATAAACAAACCCTGTTTATCACTACTATTTGATAGTCATATGGTAGTTGTAGCCCTATCTAGCGGTCCATGATTTCTCTCAATACTGTTGTATGTCTACTGGCAACAAGAATAGGGATTACAAAATCATTTATACAACAATATACAAACATGAAAAATATGATTTGAACCATGAAACATTAATACAATTTTAATAGTTTGAACTTTTTTCATTTTTGGAATACTCTTATGTGGAATCCGCAGCTATTTTTCCCGAAATTTGGGTAGACTTAGATTTCTTAGAAATATGACCTATTGGTATCGGCAACTCTGCGAATGGGAGAAACAAATCGCATTTGTTGAGCGCATCCGTCTAAGCGGTAGGCGCCAGCGCCCGTTCTGCCATCTCTCTCTTTTATCACTCTTCTACTTTACCCCGTTGTCCGTCACACTCCGACGCTGCCACATAGGATCCTACAATCGAGTGTCTTTCACGCACCTACATACTTTTGTATATTTCCATCTCTCGTCCTCATCATAATGTATAATAATGTTTTTTCCCAAGGTGTATATGTAGCTTTCAATGTCAAACTTCATTAACCTCAGCATATGTACATGGGTTGAAGCTTTTATATCGATTTTATCTGAAATACCTATTCAAACCAGTGTTTCGTCAAAAGGAGACGTCCGACATAAAATTCTCAAAAAAGCCGATTTATATAAAATTCAATACCTTATTCGAAAAATGGGGCCAAGTAGGTAGACTCAGCATATCCCATGAAACGTCGTTGTCACTTCATAGAGGAAGTCCAATCCTCTGAGAGAAAAGTTACTTACAAACATGCACAACAGAGAACTTAAATGGATCAAACCAGTTAAACAAGCCCATTAGTCCACAGACATTCTTTCCATGTCCCTCATGTAGTACCGTCCACACAGACAGTCAGACAGACCGGCAGACAGACCGACAGACAGACCGACAGGTAGACCGACAGACAGACATAATGACCGAGGGAAATGCGTGACATGGTTTTTCTTACTGTCATGTAACACCCAAAAAACAGAATCTTATTTTCGAAGCTTTTCCGCTAGTAGTCTTGTGAAGTGAAAATGACGTCAAGTAGACCTGCTCTACTTCCCACTCCTACATAAAAAAACTGCAGCAATAAGCAGAAAACACAATGGCATCAAACCGTTTACAAACTACTTTTTCGCATGTTACCCAAGTTCCTAAGTTTTTGACATGAAAAAATGTCTTGTCCTAGCTAAGTTTTCGAAAAGTTACAAAACTTATTTTTTTCACCATTTTACAGAACTGTAATCGCTTCAAATTTGGCTGACGTCGTAATGTGTACGAGAGAGAAGCGCGAGAAGCATGCAATATGTATGTTAGAAAGAGTGCGCCGATGGCAATATGGCAAGCCGCAGCTGCATCCGTGACCATGTCACTTGGGTTGCTAGGCAATGAGGTGCTTCTATTTATTTCTAACACGCGTCTCGCTCTTCTCTCTCCTACTCATTACGTAGTCAGTGGTATATGATGCATACAGGTATATGATACACCCACGAGAAACGCAAGTAAAAGAAGCTTAAAGATATCTATATATGAATTTCCTTTTTATCTTTATTTTCTTTTGTGTATATGTATGTATGTTAGGCTCAATATTCTACTACTACTACTAGTTCTGAGCAAAAATTTTTTACCAAACCCGAAATATTGAAATATTACATTTATTCGGCTATTGAGCGTTACAAAATGAGCAGAACTAGTTCTGTGCATTTCGAATTGTACAGAAGTAGTTTTGCTGATTTCTTAATGATCAGAACTAGATCTGATCGTTTTATGCAATGATGCCGGAATCCGAATAAAAAGTAGGGCTATGTTCTTCCTTATGCTTTGAAGATTATCTGGCTAGTGCTTGTGAACTGTGGATGTTTTAGATGGTTGTTATTAAATATGCAAAGTGAATTCGACTTTCAAGTACGTCAAATGCTGAAGGCAGGAGCCCAAAAACATAATCTTATGTCACCAGAACATTACTTTACCACATTAAAAGAAATTAAGGAAGAAGCAAATATGTTGAAAGCCAAGTCAGAACCTCGATCTGCTGAGCAGTATAGGAGAATCAAGTGCTTTGACATAATAAGTGTAGGTGGTGTGGAAAAGTTACCTGTCAATTGAAGAAAACTGCACATAAAAAAAGGCATCGTTATTAAACCAATTTACTTATGAATTCTCGTTG